AGGAGGAGGAGGAAGGGGGAGCCCCTTGCCGGAGCCCCTCACCATGGTGTCGGGGCCGGGCGGCGGCAGAGGAGGCGGCGGAAGGCCCTGCGGAAGTCCTGGTTGAAGACGGTGTAGATGACGGGGTTGAGGGAGCTGTTGCAGTACCCGATCCAGAAGAAGAACTGGAAGACACCGTCGGGGACTTTGCAGTGCTGGGGACAGAGTGCGCCCAGGCTGTAGAGGAAGAAGAAGGGGAACCAGCAGAGGACGAAGACGCCGATGACCACGGCCAAGACGAAGGTGAAACGCTTCTCCCGGTTGACCTGCGCCTTCTTCCTCCAAGGGTTCAACGCCGGTGGCTGATGGGCCAACACCACCCGCCCTGTCCCGGTGGCCAAGGTGGCCCTGGGGCGTCCCCCGGGCTGCGGGGACGGCCCTGTCCCGGGCTTGGGGGACGTGGGAGGTTCCTCAGGGCTCAGCAGAGAGGTCCTGTCTGCCTGCAGGCAGGTCCCTGGGGGGTGGCCGGTGGTGGGAGGGGGGACATTGGGTGACCCCGTTGGCAGCGGTTCGGTGGCAGCGGGGCGGGAGCGGTGGCGGCGTTTGGCGATCAGGTAGATGCGCAGGTAGACGAGGATCATGATGAGACACGGGGCGAAGAAGGAGCCTACACTGGAGGAGAGGACATACCAGGCCTCCTCGTTGAGTTTGCACTGCGGCCGCCCTCCCGCTGCTGTTGCCTTCTTCTCCCCCTTGTAGACCAACGGTGGGAGGGAGATGAGGGCGGCGATGGTCCAGACGATGAAGATGCTGCACTTGATACGCCGTGGCGTCCTCTTGGCGTTGTACTCGATGGCGCGACTCACCGACCAGTACCGGTCCAGGCTGATGGCACAGAGGTGGACGATGGATGAGGTGCAGAAGAGCACGTCCAAAGCCAGGTAGATCTCGCACCACGTCTTCTCGAAGTACCAGTAGCCCAGCAGCTCGTTGGCCAAGGAGAAGGGGATGATGAGGGTGGCCACCAAGATGTCAGCGGCCGCCAACGACACCAAGAAGAGGTTTTGGGGCGCCCGCAGCGAGCGGCTGCTCAGCACGGCCATGATCACCAGCACGTTGCCCGTGATGGTGAAGAGCACCAGGAAGGTGATGGCGGCGGCGATGG